CAGCTTAGCATATTTACACAATCGTGTCTCTTACTTTGCAACCGCATAGAAAAAATTGCCCCAACCCGATATAAGCTTACGCGATAGCGAATGACCTTATGCGATCGCGTGTAAGGAAACCAGAAGAAAAATACCAGTAGCTATCAGCCATCCACCATAGGCCAAAAATGGTCAATTAACCACCTGAAACTCGCTTGAGGCCATCGTGACCTCAATCAAACATACCAACAATTCCCAAATATCATACGAACTTAGTCGGATCCTCAAATCACCTCAAATAACATTAAAAATACAAAATTCACACGGATTCAAGTCTAATGAACTTTCAAATTTCCAAATTATACAAACGAAATCGAAACCTATCAAACCACAACCGATTGACCTCAAATTTTGCACAAAAGTCATAAATTACACCATGAACCTTCCAATTGTCGAAAATCAAATCTGACCCCGATATCAAAATTTTCATTGCCGGTCAAATTCGCCAAAATTCCAACTTTCACCAATTCAAGACTAATTCTACTACGGACCTCCAAATCACATTTCGAATGCACCCCTAAGTCCAGACTGACCTAACAGAGCTAAAGGAACCATCAAAATTTAAATCTGAGGTCGTTTACACATAAGTCGACATCCGGTCGACTTTTCCAACTTAAGCTTTCAATTAAGAGACTAAGTGTCTCAATTCACTCCGAATTCACTTCCGACCCAAACCAACTAACCCAATAAGCTACAATACAATTGTAAAATACAAAAGAAATAGGAAATGGAGGGAATAGGACTACAACTCTTGAAATGACCGAAATTAACTCAAGATCATCATGAGATGAGAGCCGAAAATAACAAGCAAATTCTCTATCTCTTTGGAGAGTGAATGTGCTGATTTTTACGTGTGTGTGTGAGGAGTATCAGCTCCCTTATATAGAGTGTAGGTGTGCAAGATATATGGATTGAAAGAGAATAAAGGAATATGCCAGCATTCCCTTAAAATTAGGAAAATAGCATCTTTTATAAACATAAATGGACAGTTGTCCCTGTTTCCATATATTTCGTTTATTTATTAACCCATAGCTTCCGAAAATTACCTTTTTACCCCAAAATCTGACCTAATTCATTCACTTTTATTGCATTTCTACCCCACTTCTAGAGATTTTCCAAGTAACCACTCTAATTCCCTAATTTCTCTATCTCATTTGCCCTTGTTTATTACCAAACCAACCCAAGAGAATTACATGGATTATACCAAAAAAAAGATATGCAAAAACCCCCAACCATTTGATAAATAAACCTGCCTCAAGGTCTAATTAATTCACATTAATTAAATAGACAACTTATGCAATTAAACCAATAATCCTAAAATTAAACTACTAATTAATAAAACAATTCAAACATGCAAACAAAAATTAACCAAACTCATTTTCAATAATAAAGAAAAACAAACCATTAATTACTTCAAATGATCATGCAATTGAAATGAAAATTAAGTCATACAAACACATAATCAAATTAAATCCTAATATACTAAAAGGTAAAAGAAAACAGATTAACACTTATGAAGCAAGAAAAATAGAAGATTACCTAAACACAGAGGTAGACTCGGCGAATCCAAATTTCTTCGAAATTGACCAAAAATGACGCTAATCAATCGTTTTCGCTAGGAATAATCAACTATCACAGGTTTCAGTCAAATCGAGCCTTGAAATTTCAACCTAATCGAAAGAGGTACTAGGGTTTCTTTTTTTTTCTTTTTAGATCCGAAATCGGAGGAGTTCGGTGGGTTTTTGAGGAAAATTGATGGTAGATTAATGACGATAATGAGGTGAGAAGTACAAGGTAATATTTTAGATGGATTTGGTGACTGTCCGCCACCGTGGTTAATCAAGATTGCGAACATAGAAAGCAATGAGCAACCAACTGACATTTTAACAAAGGCATTAGGACACCAACAACATGCAGTTCTGGTCTCCAAGTTGGGAATGAAAAATATTTTCCATTTTTAACTTGAGGGGGAGTGTAGAAATTATTAGCTTAGTATAGTTCTACTGAAAGCTATTTAACTAGTATTGTTCTAGAAGGTGTAGATAAGTAGTTAGTTGATAGTTAAGTGTAGAATATCGGTTATCGTGTTATATTAGGTATGTACAATACATTTCATTTTATCAGTTAAGAAAAATACGCTGAACAGTTTCTCTCTTTATCTCTTCTCTTCTTCTTCTTTTTTTTTTATCTCTGTTCTCGATCCTTATGGAAAGCTCAGACATGGCGGACTATGCTTGATTTGAGCAGTTCATGTTCCCCATGATTTAATCTATGAATCCTCCCTGGTCAGTAAGTCCATTAATCAAGTACATAATGAATATAGTGCGAGTCACACACTTCATTTATCAAAACGTATGGAGATGGATTTGATGTTCAAGATCGAGAAACTCGACAACAAATCTTTTCTTCCTTGGTTGAAACTCTTCCTCTCAAATGAGAGAAATAGTAAATAAATTAGTTCAAGTATCCAAAGAAATAAAAAGTTATGTTAGAGTTAACTTTCTACTGCTACAAGAGAAAAGGTGTATGTATGCCAATTCCTACAAGTGATTGCTTTATGGTTTGGGCTACTTTTCGTTTTACTATTAGTACGTAATTGACTTGCGAACACTCAGCACACCTTTCCTTTAAAAATATAAAAGAGAGAACTGTAGTGATACATAGTTAATCGTGAAATATTGAGAAAGATGGATTAATATATTCTTTTCTTTTTGTTGGTAGAACTGAAGATTATATTTATCGCTAATATGTATGGTAACAGAATTCAAGGATAATACATTCTTACATTGCCTAAACATTATGTGTTATCACCAATGGCTTATTCGACTTGTTTCGTTGTGTACTATAATTTATTTCCCTGTATAAAGAGTTGTTGCGACCAAATACACTCACGCAGGTATACGTGGTCGTCAAGTATTAAAGTCAAACTCGTCAATTTAAACTTCAAACGACAACATTCATGTAGCATGACCCTAGAATAATGAGTTTAGCCACGCATCTCGTGGTAGAAATATCAAATAATTCCCAATAATACATAAAATTCAATAAAAGAAGGAAAATGTAAAAACTCAAGAGGAATTTCATAGTTTTCAAACTTTGTAATGGCTTTTCTCTGCTTCCCAGTGTGTTAGATGACCTAAAAGGGGCGTTTTTGGCTTATATATTGCGTACAAAAGTTGTGGGTCAAAGTTTTGCTTTTCCTAATATGACTGAACTTCAGGGATTGATGCTAGGATGGATGCTTCGCATGTGCCTCAGCTTCAACTTCTATCTCTGTTGTGCCCAGGTGCGGATGCTAAGGCGGATGCCTTCTTCCGACTTCACTTCCAAGGGTTCACCAAATAAACTTTTTTCCTAGGTTGGATGCGACGCATCAACCCTCATCTCCTATAGATGGAGTACCTTTTCTTCATATTTTTTCACTTCAAACATCCTAAATCATAACACACAACTCAATTATTCATAAAACCAATAATTAATTCATGTTGAGCATTTTAAAGATAAAATAGCATCAAAAAACAATTAAAACATGAGTAAAGTAACATTATAACATATAGGAATATGCCCAACATCACCACCCCACGCTTAAACCTTTGTTCGTCCTCAAGAAATGTAGAATTAACCTACAACAAATTGACAAAAATTAAGCTTATCGCTATCAAGCCACACATTTCAATTAACCTCAAGCACTCATGACTTTGGTTGATACCAACAATTAGCCCCTTGCATATGCATTCTCGAACTTTCTTCTCCGTGTTATAAACATGCCAAGAACAATAGTGAACAGTTCAAAATAATCAAATAGAAACTTCGGGACATCTCAACCTCAGAAACTGACTCTCTAGCATAACTACTTTCAGGACAACTTACTCACTCTGACCGAAGAGCTTTATAAAGTCACCTATTCATCATGAAACATGTGCCCTCACTACAAAATGAAGAGAGATAGTCCACACACTTAAATCAAATTGAACGTAATTTAAGGACTTCAAACAATAGAAGAACTCACTCACTCTCTCAAAGAAGTTCACATGCACACAAAAGGTATCATATGTTTGCCCGTTATGTAAATCTCTACTAATATAGGCATGCTCAGTCTAAAATCAATTAGGGATTTATCATGGTTGTAACGTGGTCTAAGCAACGGGTAGGATAGATATAGGAACTTGTGGTTAACCCTCATAACCACTTTAACACGTCAAGTAATCACTTCAAGAGCAACTCTCTTCAACCCCACGTCAATTTCACCAAAATATCACCCCAAATATATCCCACTTTCTTTAAGTACTACTTCAAGTAATCTATATTCTTTTTTCCCACTAGTGGTGAATTATTTTACAAAATAAGTGCACATTTCTCCCTTTCATTGGTTTCACTCGAAAGCAACCCAAATCCCCTACTTACTTCTTTTAGCGCTTATTTCACAGTTAAAGTGCCTTAAGAGGTACTTGGATCAAAAGTCTCAATTAAGAACAAAAGGGTATAAGCTTGTACTATGGGCGTCAAATAAAACGTCTACAGGCTCAAGATGGCTAACTAGTGATGCTTTTATTTATGGTAACATTACAATTCAAAAGGATTAAAGAAGGCCTAAAATCATATTTCAAACCGAGCAAAACCTAGAATTTTGGTTCAACTCACATGCAGAGCAAGTTCTAGACACAAATGTACTACATGAAACTACATAAAATCTTACCACACAATGGCACATGATTTAATTAGGACAGCTACATTCCAACTTTCAATCAAAGTAAGTACAGATTCAAGCCACAAATTTAATGCACAAGGCACAACAATTAGCACAGGAGTCAAGAAAATGAGCCTAAGCGTTACAAAAGCTATTCTTGTAACGACCCGGCTGATCTTGAATCTTCTCCCTTATGAAATGACAATCAATTTTTATGGGTTTTGTTCTTTCATGGTAGATGGGATTTTCCACAATTTGTAACACAACTTTCTTATTACAATATTAGCTCCATAGGTTCTTTAATATCTATTGTTAGCTCCTTCAGTAAACCATTCAACCATGCCAACTCTGCTACTGTATGTGCTATACTTCTGTACTCATCTTCAACTAAGCTCCTCGAGATAGTAGTCTGCTTCTTTTCCTTTCTTGAGATAAGAGAACTCCCCAACTTGATATAGAAACCTGTAATTGACTTCCTGTACATAGGACATGATCCCCAATCTGAATCACAAAATCCCTAAACTCTTTCTGTACTATTTCTTGACATGAGAAGTCCAAGTCCACGCTTATCCTTGATGTACCGCACAAAATGTAGTGTAACTTCATAATGAGACTTCTTAGAGCATGCATAAATTGACTTAGACATTGCACTGCATATGTAATGTCAGGTCTTATGATTGTCAAATACAGAAGCTTGCCAACCAGTCTTTGAAAAGAACTTATGTCCTCCAAGACACTGTCATTAGTGTTCCCATTCACAATCTTATCAAATTCTGTGCTTGTAAGTTTCAAGTTCTGTTCCATTGGAGTCTTCTTGGGATTTGAACCTGAGATTCCTGCCTATGAGATCATCTCCATGGAATACTTTCTCTAAGACATAATGATACCTTCTGTTGATCTAGCAATTTCAATTCCCAGGAAGTATCTCAATTCTCCAAAATCTTTTAGTTTGAAGTTCTGATGTAAGGCTGCTTTTGATGTGTTAATCTCCTCTTGATCATTTCCTGTAACAAGTAAGTCATCTACATAGACAAGTACAAGAACAAACTTTCCATTAGTTGTTTTAGTAGACAATGAGTAATTATGTCTGCTTTCATGAAAGCTAGACTTGAGAAGTGCTTGTGTTAGCTTCAAATTACATTGCCTAAAGGCTTGCTTCAAGCCATAATAGTAATTGAGTAGCCTACACACCCTATGCCCCCCCCGGCTACCAAATCCCTGAGGCATAGTCATCTAAACTTCTTCATGTAAATCTCCATTTAAAAAGGCATTATGTACATCTATTTGGTAGATTGGCCATTTTCTAAGTGCAACAACTGTTATAACAGTCCTCACTGTGGTCATTTTGGCCATATGTGAGAAGGTGTCATGAAAATCAATCCCCTACTACTGGGTTAGAAGGTGAGAAGGAGACCCAATATTACCATAGCTACCAGTCTAGCCTTAAGCCTTTCTACTGTTCCATCAGCATTGTATATGGACTTTTTCAAGAGGCAAATTCGCTACTTCGCAAGTGTTGTTTTGTTCTAATGCTTCAATATCAAGTTTCATAACCTTGATCCACTTGTCATCTTTAACAGCATGAAAAAATGAGATTGGTTTAGTGTCAGAAGAAAACGAATCTAGGTAGGATTGGAAAATATGAGAAAGATGAGAATAAGAAATGAATTGGTGTATAGGATAAAGAGATTAACCCGAGGATGCACATAATCAGTCAGCCATATAGGAGGTTTAGAGAACCTACATGACTTACTGACAAGTACTATGATAGTACTTGTGTATGAATCCATATCACGAGTATTAGATGATGATTTAGCATGCAAAGAAGGAGCAAAAGAGGGAGAATGAGTAGGAGAGGAAGGAGAGTCAACAGGAGAGTCAGAGAAAGTAGCAGGTGAGTCTGCTGAATCATTGGAAAGGTCAAGTGTAGTGACTTCTGGTTCAATATTGGTAGAAAGTTTTGGTTCTATATTAGAAGAAGGAAAGATATTTGGGATATGGGTGACTAGGATTTGGATCAGGGATAACTAAGAATCTGTGTTTAGGATGCCTGAAAGGAAATATCCCTTCTTTGAAGAAAACATCCCTACTAATTATGAATTTGTTAGCAGAAATATCATATACTTTATATCCTTTTTGTGTGGTGCATATCCCATAAAGACTCCAGGAATAGATTTAGGATTAAACTTGTCATAAAAATCAGCCTTTGTGGCACAGCAAATGCACCTCATTGTTCTCATGTGGAAAACGAAGGTGGTTTTCTAGGGAACATCTCATAGGGAGATTTTTCTTATAGAACAGAACTAGGAAGTCTATAATGATGTAGGTTTCTATTAGAATGTAATCACCCCGGAATTTTAAGGCTGTATTGGCTTGGAATCTTAAAGCTCTTCCTATTTCAAGAATGTTTCTATGCTTTCTCTCCACAACTCCATTTTATTATGGAGTGTGCAGACAACTACTTTGGTGAATTATTACTTTGGACTTGAAGAGATTGAAACAAAGAGTGTTGAAGAATTCATGCCCATTGTCTGACCTGGCATATTTGACAGTACTACCAAATTGGTTTTCTACTAGTTGAAGGAAATCTTTCAAAACAACATACACATCAATCTTTATCACAAGAGAAAGGTCCATAGTATAGTCATCAACAAGAGTTAGGAAGTATTTGAAACCATTATAAGTACATACTCTACAGGGTCCCCAAGCATTCATATGGACTAGTTCAAAAGAACAAATATACTTACAAGTACTAATGGGAAATGACCATCCAACTTGCCTAGCAAGAGGACAAACGGGACAATTGCAAGTAGAAGGCTTAGACAAGTACTTATTTATTTCAGGTATATTTAATAAGACTGTCATAGGGGCATGGCCCTGTCTTTGATGCCACGGGAAGCTTGAGCCTGGCTGATGTGAGACTATCATACAGTTGGAAGAAGAAAAGGTAGTAGCAAGTTCTAAAGGATTGAAGATATAGAGGTCTTTTCTGAGTCTACCAATCCCATTCACTATGCCACTGGAGAGGTCTTGAAAGATACAAAAATCAGGATAAAAGTGGACAGAACTATTTAACTCTTTAGTGTATTTGGAGATAGACAACATGTTATATCTGAATTCAGGTACATAAAGCACACCATGAATGGTTTTTGAGATAAATAGATTGCAAGAACCAATGTTAGTTATTTTAATGCTATTACCTTTAGGCAAATATACTGAGGAAGATTTAGGCTTAGGTATTTAAGAGATACTTGACAAGAGATTCAAGGATGACACCATATGATTTGAAGCACCAGAATTAATAATCCAACAGTTTTGTTCAGTCAGTGATTTACCTGCCATGCTAGCAACTTCTTGTCACGACCCAAACCTCATATGTCGTGATGGCGCTTATCGCAATACTAGGCAAGCCGACAACCATAATAAATCACACATTCTTTAAGTTTGAAAGTATGATAAAATAAGTTTAAGAGTAAAATCTCATAAATACTAATATAAAAATACTGCGACTCAATACAATATTACCCCAAAATCCGGGTGTCACTCACTACAAGTGCATCTATACAATAACATGGTCTGAAACACTCTCTAGGAAATAGAACAATAAATAAAAAATAGAAGATGAAGGAGGAGAGTCAAGGTCTGCGGATGCCAAAGTAGCTATCTCAAAAATCTTCGAATTAATAAAGCTCCAAAAGCAGCAACCACCGTACCCAAAAGTACTTGGATCGGTACACGAAGTGTAGAGTGTTGTATGAATATAACCGACCCAATATACTCAATAAGTAACAAGACTAACCTTGGGCTGAAAGCAGTGATGAGCTCAACAGGTACAGTCCAAATATAGAAATAATAGTACAGAATGTAGACATACTTTCAAGTTCAACAGTTAAGCTCAAACAGGTAAAATATTCCAAGTGTTTACTGAAATGAGGAATGATACATCTCGATATCTACATGCCAATTATGTATGCCAATTGTAATGCAGAACAATGATGAAATTATATGCATACTCTCAGAGTAGAAATCACTCAGTCTTCCCATTCACTCAATCCTCACAGTCATTCAATCCTCTGTGAGCATGTGATTTTTGCCTCATATGAATTACTCCTACAGAATTCCAAAAATTAGATTTTTCCTTTTTATTATTTGTTATTTAGGAATTATTGTAGAATTCTTTAAATTATTTGCATTCCTTGCATGCATGTTTAATTTTAGTTAATTCATGAAAAAACAAAAATATATTGCATTTGCATCTAGGATTTAATTTTACATTTTTTAGATTAACTAGTAAATTAGTTTGTTTTACAAAAATGGAAAAATCACAAAAAAATAACTCATTTTTGCATTGTTAATGTTTAGCTTCGAATTTTGTAGTTTTCCTTTAATTTGGTAATTAATTAGTTGTTGTAAATATTATTTTAGTAATTAACCTAAGTTGGTAGTATAATTTGGGTTAGGAAATAATTTTGGTTTTATTTTTATTTTTTAAAAAGAAAAGGATTTGAAGTTAAAAAGAAATTGAAAAGAAAAAGAAAAGAATTTAAAGAATAAGGATTTTGGGCTCTTTTAATTAAATATCCCCAAGCCCAATAAATTACACCCCTTAACCCGTTCAAAATCGGCCCAGAACCGTTCCCCTACCCGGTCCGCTTTTCTCTATGCCCAAACGACACTGTTTAGGTCTTTTAATCTGAGCCCTTGATCTCCCTTTATCGAACGACTTGGGACTGGTCCCTCTAAAGTATATAACTGTCCTAAAGCCCCCTATCCCCCC